CCTGTCTATCGGAAGCAGCTAATAACTTGCCATACAAATAAACCATTTTTTACTTGCCTTCCGACTCCTGGTGGTGATTCTTCATGTCGTGGGTTAAGAAATTGCCTTCAAACATGACAGGAAGGAGGGACGTAACTACTGTTCAGCATCAGTGCAGGGGTGCCGTGTCTCCTGCGAGCTAATACTACAGCACCAACAATAGCAATTTCACGGCAAAAAGCTCCAGTTTTTCTAAGTGGCTGCAGTAACCACATTTTACCACAGGGTTCTGTGTTGTTTCATTTCTACATAATGCACCTTTAATCTTTCATTTTGTCGTCTTGGGAATTTTGATATTGTGGAGAAGAAGGTGTAGATGGAGAAGAAGGAATTGTGTATATATAAAGTTAAAAGAGTTGCTTAGTAGACTCCTAAATTATTCCACTGTGTTTAGTTGCCTTGAAAGAATGGGGGATTTGCACTCTCTCCTGGCAAAAAATAGAACAACATTGCTCCAATAGCATTTAGAAAAATGGGGAAGATGGGAGGTTGCTGCCCCCAGTGTCTGAAAGCTGTAATTGCACTTGTGTTCTTTTTAGCCTTTCAGAACAGAAAACTTTAGCCTCCTTTTCTTTTTAAAGCCTTAGAAAATCTTAATCTTTTGTCCTCTTGAGAATAGTAGTATTAAGGATGAGAAAGATGAAGTGTAGATGGAGCTGAAAAACTGGATTTATAAAGTTAAAATAGTTCATAACTAGAAACACTTGATCTAAATTCTTCCACAGTTTTGTTGCTTTGAAGAAAGGGGATTTGCGCCCTCTGCTGGCAAAAAATATAACAGTTAACCAGCTGAGTGGCCTAGTGGAAGAGCTCCCTGGGACTGGGAGGTCGGGGTTCAAAACCTGTCGGGTCATACCAAAGACTCTAAAAACGGGACCCGATGCCTCACGCTCCCCGCCGGGACGGGTCAAATGCGGAGATGAATTTCACCCGTGTGTGATGACTTTAGAACTTTAACTTTTCCAGTAGCATTTAGGAAAAAAGGAAGATGGGGAGTTGCTGTCCTCTAGTGTCTGAAAGTTGTAACTGCACTTATGTTATTTTATTTTATTACTCTGAGAAAACACTAAATATGTCGGATGTTTGTCAGAGGTTAAAGTCAGTGATTTTTGTTTCTTTACTCTTAATAACTAGAGATTTGTGGTCATTTTTTAAAACATAATTTTGTTTCTATTTGGTTTTGAAATAAAGATGAAATGAAAAAGAAAACAGAAGCAAACATTCAAAAGAGTATGGATATTTTTAAGTGGGGTGTGGATATTAGTGGAAAATATTTATAAATTGATCTAAAAATACTACTAGTCATTTTTGAGATATTCTGTTGTGGAAATTTGGATGCAGTGGGTTCATATTTCTGGTTTCCAATTAGGAAAGGACAACTTCAACCAATTAGTTCCATTAACTTAGCATCTTTAATCTGGTGGTATAAAACTACAGCACCTGGACCAGGTTACCAACCTGGGGTCCGTGACCTGATTTATAAAATCCCAATAAAACACCCAATTATATGATCAAAGCTCTGCCTTAAATAACTCTATATGTCTGCATAATGCTTGTAATTAACAATGCTGTTGTTTCTTTATCACTACCTACTCATCATTCAGCTCTTTCCACCAATTCTGTCTTTCTCAGGATCCACTGATTACCTCTTATTTTCCCTTCCCTCATATTTTAATCACAGTTTTTTACTTCTCCCAATTTTATTATATTTGTAATAATTTTTTTAGCACCTCATGATTTTCATCTTGAGAAGCACTAAATAAAAGATTGTTTCTTCTTATAATTCAAAATGTTGAAGTTTCTCTTGCCTGGCTGGGCTCTGGGTGCTCAGCACCCCTAAACCTCTGATGTTAGAATCACCCCTGCACGCAACTATAATAAAACATTTTCGTAAACATTTGCTTTGAGAAAATAAAAGTTTGAAGAAACGGGCTGAGCAGTGGTTAGCGCAAGAAGGTTCTGGGTTTGCATCCCAGCCTGGGGTCTTTCTGTGAGGAGTTTGCATTCTTGGGTTCTCTCCGGCTTCCTCCCACGGTCCAAAAACATGACTGTCAGCCTGACAGTAGTTTAAGTATGGAAGATAAGCTGGCGGAGGCTTTAATTCTTGCCAGCTGTGGGTGCCCCCCCCCAGGTTCATGTTTGTACCCTTTGTGCCCCCTCCAAAAAATACTCTGGCTCCGCCCCTGCTGTCAGGTTAATTGGTCTCTGAATTGACCTTAGGTGTGAGTGTGTGCATGGACCCTGTGTGTCTCTGTGTTGACCTGCGTTGAACTGACAACCTGTCCAGGGGTGTACTCTGCCCGTTTGTCTGATGAATGCTGGAGATAGTCACCATTTTTAAGTTGAACCTGACAATCTCACAAATATTTTAGACAAAAATAAAATGACATTCTAAATTTTACAAATGCTTTATTATTTTTGACAGTTATTACCACAATTAAACATGATGTCATATGTGTTGCCACAAAGGCCTAACGAGGAATAACACATCGTTTCTCACATCTGTAAGCCTGTTTTTATTCTTTGCATTCACGTCTCTTGCACACGGTCAGTTTCCTGTCTTTGATTTGGTCTGGACGGCTTCTTGCGCTGATGCAGTGGAGCTCTAGCCGGGGGGAGAGGATTGCGGCTCTGGTACGTCTTGCTCTGTAAGAACACAGGATCTCTCAGCAGTAACTGAGAGGTTTGGCCTTTCGAGGAGCTGAGGAACTCTTCAGATTTGGCCCGAGGGCCAGTGATGATGGGAGCAGACGTTTTGGGAATGATGGTGGTCATGGTCCGAGTCAGAACCTTTCTTCTTCGTAACACCAGAGAAGGAGCTGCTGACGGCTTCTGTTGCTTTTCTGCAGATACGCCCTCTTGCTGCGGTTGCGACTGTGACTGCTGCAGACTGTGGGCTTGCAAGCTTTGCATCTTGCACTCCAAATCTTTCAGAGCTTGATCCGTGTAGGTCTGCATTTCTTTACGTACCAGAGAAATCTGAACATCAAACTCTTTCTTCAAGTCATTTTTTGCAGTTTCAAGCTCTTGGTGAAAAAATGCATGCATCTCCGGTCTCAAATCAAGCCCGCCAATGCTTCCATCTGTCAGCCCTTCTGCTTTTATCCCCTCTTCTTCGTTACCATCAGGCTCAATCTTCTCCTGCACAAGCTCTATTTCTCTGTCTTTGATTTTTTGCACCAGCTCCAGTATGCTGCTCTTAGAGACTTTTATCCCCCCTTGTGATCGGATCTGGGTACGTACCTGTTCAAAAACAGAATGCACCTTTGCAAGTGTCTCCTTTTCAGTTGCACCGCTGTCCTCTGTGCTCTCATGATGCGGCGTGACGGAGATTTGCTCCACTGCTTCTGGTGTTTTGTCCTGTTGTTCACCGTTCACTTGGATTTCTGGGTTGGTTTCAGAAGCTGCTTTGCTCATTTTTACTTTTCGTCCCGTGAACCCTGAACTGAGCATCCCTGGTTTGGGGAGGACATAAATGACTTGGGTGTTCATCCTCAGAGACGCTAATTACCAGCGGGATTTAAGTCTTCAGTCCACGCTGCATGAAAACAGTCAGAACCACTGCGGTTCAACATATGTGCAATCCTTAAAAAGAAACACATTATTATGCCAGCTACTTTGTTTGATCTTTTGTCAGCAGGACTGTACCTATTGTGTTATAAAATAATCTTATGGTTGCATGTAGAGCCTTTTTAACTCAGCACTTTGTGATCTGTGAGTAGCTGCATCCACTGACAACAAGCTGCCTGGCAACAGGATGGAAAACAAAACTCTTCAGGGACGATCTCAGCGACAGAACCCGAGGGGATGACATCATATCGTCACTAGTGATTAGTGTTTACTAGAATAAAAAAAACTGTTGCACAATAAACAAATCTGATTTTTAAATTACGACTTGACTGAAGAAAAGCTCACTAAACGCTATGTTTTACAATTTACCTGTAAAACCAAACAGAGCAGCAGAGATTTTTTTACTCCTATGATGGATTTTCCCTTCCAACATCAGAATAACAACAGAAATAAAACTTGTCCAAAAATAAAGAAAGCTGGAGATTTTTTTTTCAATCCTAGAGATGATTTTAAAATGAATGCTGCTGCTACTTTATTAATGAACAATGACACAAACTCTCTTGACAGGATTATGGTTAAATACAGAACATCTCATCCTCTTACAGTATAGTCATTTTGCCACCTGTAATAAATTATTTTCCCTTTTTATTTTTTTAAAGAATGTCCCATCTGTAAGTGTTTTGGAGAAAAACAATCAAATTCCTATTTAAACTGATATAAAGTGTGTTTGAATAATAAAAATCAAACCTGCATTAAACAGTAACCCAAAAACAAAAGGTGTAAAAACAGACGGGATTTAGCTCATTATAATGTTGCACACATTTAGTTTGATCCTATGTGAGTTGCTTGAATTCTTTTTAACACAAAACTTAAACGAATAGATGAAGATTAGTTGCTCGATAGCTCAATGGTTTTCCAGTCACTGGAACACCACATGTGGAGAAGGAAAGTTGGGATGGGGGGTGTTTTAAAGCACGTGAGGTTCCCTCAGTTTAACTACAACGAGCCAATAGGAGTCCAGCATGCATGAGCCTCCTCTTGCCACTAAACACTAACATATGGACCTTGAATTCTTCTAGAAAAATCAAGCTGCAACTCTAAACCTGCACATATAACTAGTTTTTAACCATCACTACAGGTGATGAACAAGGCATTTACCAATGGTAATGTCTTACACAATATTGCCATAAATCAAAACTAAAACACAATCATTAAGATTTGTTTATTTGATAAAACACTAATTTGTTCCTTCAGATGATAGGATGCTGTCTGCAGCATCCCTCTGATGCTAAATGAAGAGGTGATAAAGTTGTAACCCGACCTCTTGTCTCCAAACTGTTAAAAAGTACGTAAAACAGCAAACATGTGGCGAGCATCGCCACTTTCTCCTCCACCAATACCAGCTCCTCACTGGTGGGAGTGGGTCTGAAATGGTTCTGCTCAGCTTTTAAATTCAGGCATTCAGGCTTCATTCTGACAGCGAGGTCGAGTCAGCGGCAAGCATCATGGTGAGTTCAAGTTCACAAACGAGTCTTCTGACATTTTGCCTTTTCTATTTTCATTCTGGGAATTAGAAGATATTTGTTTGTATTTGCTCTTTTTTCTTTGCACTGAGTTGTTTTTCTCCCACACAGACAACATACACAGACAAAGGCGAAAAGGTAAACATAAAGCGACACCACTGAGTATTAAATTACTGCAGGAAAGATTATTTAACAGGTTTTCTAACTGATTATTGTACATTTGGGTTAGAAACAAATCAATAATCAGCTTTTCTGTTTGCTTTCAGCACGATCAGGGCAAATTCATCTGCTTTGATCATATAACCTTCTGGGTTGGAAATGCTAAGCAGGTAATTTACATGTGTTTGCTTTTGAATTCATGGTAACTTTGCCAAACTAAAGAACTGAAGCAGCTCCAGTCACCAGGAGATGGAGCCAGCTCACATAGGCTGTAATAAGTCTTTAACTATTTAGCTTCATCATCTCCTTACAGGCTGCCTCATATTACTGCAACAAGCTTGGATTTGAGCCCTTGGCTTACCGGGGTTTAGAGACAGGCAGCCGTGAGGTGGTGTCCCACGCAGTCAAACAAGGAAAGGTAACGAGCACCATGCTTTTTTCTGGGCAACAAGTCAGATAAAAATACTGCTTTCTGAATGGTTTAATCACACAGCTGTTTCCACATCTGTAGTTTGCACAGATGGAAGCAAGATGCAAGTGTAGCAGTTTATTTCACTTTGATTTTTGCCTTGTTGTCTGCATTTTTTTACAGATCATTTATGTATTTTCCTCTGCTCTCAATCCTGGAAACACAGGTACAGAATTAAACAGGGGCAGAAATACACATTTAAAAATTTGGGTTTATGACTTTCAGTATCAGATAGCTTTTTGAGAATTGTTTATTTACCATTTTTCAGGAACGTGCTGCTCAATATTTACCTTTATTCTGAAAACGACAGTCACGTGATGACTTACAGAGTATCAGTTTCCAGTGGAAATCATTTTGTATTTTAAAGGATCCAATACACTGTAAAATCTGATTTGTTACCCTTACTTGCAAACCAATAACACTTATGTGCTAAAAGTTAACTGAACTTAAATGCAAGTTACTTTAATTAGGACAAAGTACTTAGGATTTTTCTGACTGTTTACTACTGTATACAATTCAGAAACACTAGCTCAGTAAGGAAGTTCCTATGAACTTTTTAGGTATTCTTAGTTATAGCATCTTGTATTTAAGAGCATTTTACTTAGGAGTGGCTCCAAAACATAATTACCTTCTCCTGTGTACGTTTTCCTGTAAGTGCAACCACTTTGCTGCTTTATTTCACAAAAGAGTAACTAATCTAATTTTACAGTGTATAAAACATTACCTTTAAGGGCCTGTGTCCAGACAAACCAGAAAAGCATGGTTTTTCTTTTCTCAGAGATGGGAGATCATCTGATGAAACATGGGGATGGAGTGAAAGACATAGCTTTTACAGTGGAGGACTGTGACTTCCTGGTTCAGGTTGTGTTCATTCTGTCTATTTATAAACCAGAAGCTTCCATTCTGAAGCTGAATATAATTTCTCACACCTGCACAAAAAAAATCCTTCTCCTTTTTATGAAACACTATCATCGTCCGCTGACAGCAAGCCCGTGAGCGAGGGGCAGTTATCCTAAAAGAGCCCCACAGTCTGGAGGACAAGTGTGGAAAAGTCAGGCTGGCTGTGCTTCAGACGGTAGGAAAGGACACAAACTCTCTGAGTTTAAGTCATTTTAGTCTCTATTTTGATCTGGTTATGAACTTGTCTGAAGTAACAGGAGCGTGTTTTTGCTTTCGTGTCCTGCAGTATGGCGACACCACACACACATTTGTAGAGAGGACAGGATACACAGGCTTGTTTCTGCCTGGTTTTCATCACCCTCTGTTCAAGGATCCTTTCCTGGCCAAACTGTAAGCAGATGTGTTCTTTTAGTATGATATGATTAATATTCCTGATTGTTTTATGTGGACTGAATCCACCCCTCCTCACAGACCTGTTGGGAAACTGGACTTCATTGATCACGTTGTGGGAAACCAACCAGAAGATGAGATGGTCTCAGTTGTAGAATGGTAATAAACACTTTGGTCTTGTTTGATTTCTGATGATAAACCAGCTCATCAGGTTGTGATGTGGCGTGCAGAAGTCTGTGGTTTTAAAAGGTGTTTGACTATTACGTAATTCAGATTTTTATTTTATTTTGCCAGCATAAATCAGGGATCATGAGAGCTCCAGCGGTTCTTCACATCTGGAACCTGTTTCCCTTTATTACACTAAAAACGACATAAAATGAGAAAACAGGCAATTCTCTAAAAGAACGAGCTCATTGGTTAATCCAGGGAAGATGGGGGGCGTAACCCTGGCTGCAGTTTTTCATGTTTGCAGGCTATAATTAATCAGTTAGAAAGAAATATTTCAGACAATGAAAAACCAGGAATTTGGAACCATTTAGCTCAACAAACCGACACAAGCACTAAAATTGTTCCTCGACTTTATGTGTCATCTAGTGGTACCGCACTGAGCCTGAGTCGAGTTCACTCCTGATCTCTGATTGCTTTCTGAGTCAACAGGTATCGGAAGAACCTCCTCTTTCATCGTTTCTGGTCAGTGGATGACAAGCAGCTTCAGACTGAATTTAGCGCCCTGCGCTCCATCGTGGTGGCAAACTTTGAGGAGACTGTGAAAATGCCGATCAATGAGCCTGCCATGGGGAAGCGAAAGTCCCAGATCCAGGTATGTGTTTCTGATCAGAATAAAAGCAGGAGGGACAAAAGACTGGTCTAAAAACACGCTTTTGACTTGCAGGAGTATGTGGAGTACTATGGAGGAGCGGGAGTGCAGCATATTGCCATGAACACATCAGATATCATCACAGCAGTATGGCTTTAGATGACTTTTATCTTTTTCAAAAGCTATTCTATGAAACCTCGTAAGAAAGTCAGATCTGGTTTACAGATTCGTAACCTAAAGGAGCGCGGCATGGAGTTTATGACAGTGCCAGACACTTACTACGACCAGCTGAGGGAGAAGCTCAAACACGCTAAGATCAAAATCTCAGAGGACCTGGATGTCCTGCAGGTAAGGTGACTAATCCATAGTTCACCTGTGTATTTAACCGCTGTTTATTAAACAGTCATTATGTGACCTTGCACGCCATAACAGGAACTGAGGATTTTGGTGGACTACGATGACATGGGCTATTTACTTCAGATCTTCACCAAGCCGGTCCAGGATCGCCCCACTGTGTTCTTGGAGGTCATTCAGAGACACAATCACCAGGTGAGGGCAGCAATGGATAAACTATCACTAAAAAAAGACAAGATGAGGATGTAATTCCAACTCACTCAGGTCTAATAACTCCTGCAGGGCTTCGGTGCAGGGAACTTCAAGTCTCTTTTTGAAGCCATCGAAGCAGACCAGCACGCCAGAGGAAACCTGACCGTCCTCACACCAAATGGCGATACGAAGAACATGTGAACCCTCACAAATACTCCACGAGTCTGAATATTCTCAGTATTAACTCACCATGCAGACTGCATCAACACTAATGTTATGTAGACAGTGTGAATACACAAGTCAGGGTGGTTACCTTTATCTCTTAATCCCATCGTTTACATGTTAGCTTAGAATCTCTTTTGGTAAAAGTGTTATGAAACAAATCTATCAAGAGAACATCACATAGAATATTAACAAGAAAGACATCTTTACAAGCTTGACTCAAGCAAAACGTAGTGGAAGCTCTCATAAATGAAAACATGAAACTATTATCTGAACATGGAGGTCCACGGACCTTTAAATGAAACGAGGCTTTTAGCTTCTCTCCTGTTGAAATAAAAAATTTAAACTAGCAGAAAGTTTGTCATTTATTCAACTGTTACGAGTGATTGACCGTGATGTTCTGATTTATGAGTTTTACCATCTTAAAACTTTATGAAAGGGATAACTTCTATGGATAAATAATAGTTATAATTAATTTGTGATGGCGCCACTAAGCAGCACCAAACTCTCTCCAGACCTTTAAAGAGCAAGTCAACCCCTACCAGAGTCTAACTCCACTCCCACTTCATGTTTGAAAAATGCAACACATGCTGTTGCCTGGCAGACCGAGAGGGCGGAGCCGCTAACAAATACACACACACTCAGGCTCACGACAGCATTGTGACATCATAATGTACCAGTTTACATCATAGCATACTTCTTAGCCAATAGCGGTGGCAGATTTAAATTAAAATACAGTGCAGAGTTTTTACCTGACAATGGCACAACACTGCCAGTTTTAGGCAGAATATTTAAATTTTAACTAAGATGCACTGAAGTGTCAAATTATTGATGACACGTGTCTGCAGCACGATTAGACACTCGTTTATTTAGTTTATCAGCAAAAAAAAGTTTATTTGGGGGTGACT